ACGTGCTGGTTTCTTTCACCTAATTTTGAGTTTCATGCACATTATAGTATATACATTGTTCCTTTTTACTACTGAATAGTATTCTGAAATATGAGTGTGCCTCATTTACCAGCAGGTGGATATTTGGGTTGCTCCACTTTTTGCCTTTTATGAATAATACTGCTATGGATATCTGCAGCCAAGTCTTTGTGTGGTCATGTTTTTTCTTGGGCTGACTGGTAAATAAGAAATTGTCACTGTTTTCCTAAGTGGATACGCCATGTCACATTCCTGCTAGCAATATACAAGCACCCATGTCTCCAATCTCACCATACTTTTTGTCTTCTTCATTTTAGTCATTTTGSTGGGTAACACTAATTTGCAGCATTGTTTTGTTTGCAGTGGTATTGTTTTAATTTGCATTTCTCTGGCAACCAATTAAGCTGAACACACCTTCACATCATTGAGTACCTCAACATTATATTTTGTGGAATTATGTTCAGAATCTCTTGTACACTTTTTTTCAAATTGGGTTTTTGTCTACTGATTTGTATAAGTTCGTTACATCTGCTGGGCAGATCTTTTGTGAATATATACAATATAAATCTCTTCCATTCTGTGGCTTTTCATTTTTGTAAAGTTGTCTTGGATGAACTTAAAAAAAAATCAGCTTTTTTTTAAACAGCTAAAGCTTAATGTTCTGTTTAAGAAATCTATGTGCACTGAGTTCATGAAATTACTATTTTCTTTTCAAAATGCTAGTTTTATAAATGAGATTACAGTCCATCTGCTATGTTTTTGTATAATGCAAGATTCACCCTATTTTCCAGTTTCCAATATAACTTATTGAATAGGCCATCTTTTCCTTCGTTTTACTGCAGCCCATCTTAGTCATATATGAGGTGACCAAGCATTGCTCTGATTCTGAACTTTTGATTGATTGTTTTTTATTTATGTCCTTGTGCCAATATCATAGTATCAAACCACCATGGCAGCTAATAATTCTTGGAATCTGGTAGCCTGAAACTCCCAGGGTTGTTTTTCTTCTTCAAGATTGCCTTGTTTCTGGCTCTTTGTATGTATACATGTTTAGAATTAACTTTCCAAGTCCCACAAACTATTTGCTTAGGTCACATGAAACCTACTGACCTCTATATAATACTGAATTTTCTAATACATTAACTTGGCATAATCTGATATTTATTTCAGCCTACTTTAAATTTTCTTCCATTATTTTTGCATTTTCCACAGAAAGACCTTGTATTTTTTTAATTTCATTCTATTGTTTCTATTATGTATTTGTTTAAGTTAAAATTTTAACATTAAAAATCAAATGTATACATGCACATAAACAAATAGTCCTGTCAAAGTGTACACTCTTCTCAATCTCTTCCTTCTCAAAAACTTTCCTTCTTTTAGCAGATTATCTTCATGTCACTAAGTTTCTTCTTGATTTTTTAAAAGTAATTTCTTCTTGTCTAGCTGAAATTTTTTTTTTCTTTGCCCAACATCTCCTCCACACCATCCTGAGTCCCTGGTAACCACCATTCTCTCTACTGAGTTCAACTCCACAGTTCAAGTCTACTGAGTTAGACTTCACACAGAAGTCAGATCACGTGGTATTTGTTTTCCTGTGTCTGGCTTATTTTGTTTAGTGTAATGTTCTTCAGGTTTAGTCATGTTGTAAATGACAATTTCCTTCCTTTTTAAAGGCTGAATAATATTGCAACATGTATATTACTATTTAAAAAAAATCTACTTATCTGTTGATGAACACCGAGGTTGATTCCACATATTCAGGCTAATGTAAATTGTGCAGCGAACATGGATGGGAGTGCAGATATCTCTTTGACATACTAATTTTATTTCATCTGGACATATACCTTCATAATAGAATTGCTGAATCATACCATTTTAAATTTTTCCAGAAACTTTCATACTGTTTTCTATAATGGTTGTACCAACTTATATTGCTACCAACAGTGTGTAAGGGTTTCCTTTTCTGTAAATCCTCACCATAACTTATTTTTGTCTTTTTGATAAAAAGCATCAGGTATGAGGTGATAATCTCACTGTGGTTTTAATTTGTATTTCAATGATTAATGATGATGTTGAACATTTTTCATATATACTCCTCAATTTATGATAGGGTATGGCCCGACAAGCCCATTGTATGTTGGAAATATTCTAAGTTGAAAATGCATTTAATGTACCCAATTWATTGAATATCATAGCTTAGACCACCCTAACTTAAACATGTCCAGAATGTTTATATTAGCCTACAATTGGGTAAAACCATATAACACAAAGCCTATTTTATAATAATATGTTAAATAGTTCAATTTATTGAATACTGTACTGAAAATGACAGAATGGTGGTATGAATGCATTTTTACATCACTGTAAGGTCAAAAAATTGTATAAACTGTACAGGATTACCTGTACCTGTTGGGCATTTATATACCTTCTTTGAGAAATGTTCACTCAGGTCCTTTGCCTTGAATTGTGCCATTTTGATTGTTTGTGTTGTTGTTACTGAGTTTCTTGTATATTTTTTATATTAACCTTTTATCAGATGTATAGTTTTCAAGTATTTGTCTCGTTACTCTTATTTGTTTTGTTTTGCAGAGAATTTTTAGTTTGAAATAATCCCTTAATTTTAAAAGTATTATCTACTGATTTCCCATTGTGGAAAATGAGGATCCTGATAACTTTTCTACTTCATTTGCACAACATCATGTCCTCTTCCAATATAATTATGTTGCCATTTGATTAGATTGACATTCACTGTTAACATTATGCCATTTAACCAGCAATCATAGTTTAGTTTTTCTTTTCTGCACATTTTGCTTTCCTGGAGTTAAGAATTGCCAATTATTGAATTTAAATCTTAAATAAAAATTTGCTTCAAATGAAAATCATCACTGACTAAATCCTGGGGTCTAGCACAAATATTCACCTGCATCTGATTTCAGCCAGAGAGGCAGTAGACAGTCCATGGGAGCTCAAACTCACACTCAGCTTTTGGCCTCAGCACTGTCTCTGACATTTAAGGAGCTTACATGGCCTATGTGCAAACTGCCCCTGTTCAAGGAGGTAATGGACTTGACATTATAGGTCAGTGAGGAGTAAGTCTGTAGATAAATGCCTGAGCCACTTTTCTTTCAGGAGATAATTCTGGGAGCTATCATATAGCTTCTTAGAGGACATGGTAGAATCAAGTTCCCACTGTTTACACAGTAGTGAAGAATGCACACCCTTACATCAACTTTTCTCCCTCTTCCATTAAAGTATTACAAGTACCAGGGGCTGGGGTTGTGGCTCAGTGGTAGAACACTTTCCTGGTATGTGTGAGGCACTGGGTTTAATTCTTGGCACCACATATAAATAAATGAATAAAATAAAGGTCCATCAACAACAAAAGAAGTATCATAGTCCCCACTCATATTTTCTGGAATCTCTAAAATAAACTATCTTATCCATGTTCTTGTCTCAGGCTTTGTTTTAGGAGGAACTTCTCACTCTGCTGGTTGTCTAACTTAAGATACTAAGAACCCTCAGGTATTTTATTAATCTTTCTGAAAAAGTATCTCCAGAGCTTTCTGATATGCTTCAATATAGTCTCCTTGGAAATCCATCACCATCATTTGGGAATTTCCTTCATCTCAATTCTCTATTGAATCCTGTTTTCTGCAATTTACATCTTCATATTGCTTGGTTTATGCCCTTGTTTTTATGAAGCACAAACTCTAGTAGCCTCTTGAGAAAGCGTATATCTTTTGAGAACTCATATTACTAAAACTGTCTTCATTTTTTTCCTTATTTACAGGAAGACACAGAATTTTTTAGAAGTTTAAAGGCATTGCTTCTGTTGAAATTTGAAGCTAACGTGATTCTTATTCCTTGGTAGGTGACCTGCCCATTTTCTCTGGAAATGTAAGGAGCTCTTCTCTTGACCAGTTGAAATTTCATCACAACGTATTTTGGTATAGGTATTTTTCATTCACTGTGCTCTTTCATTCTAGAATCTGATGTTCTTTAGTACTGGAAAATTTTCTTAAAATATGCTACTGATTTCTTCTGTTTATTCTTTCTTTTTGGAACTCTGAGAGACTGGACATTGGATTTCCTGGGCTGTTAACTTACTTAAATCTTATTTTTTCAGCATTTCTTTCTGTGGAGTATACTAGGGATTGAATCCAGAGATGCTTTACCACTGAGCCCCTGGGTTCAGCCCCAGCCTTTTTTTTTTTTTTTTTTTTTTTTTTTAATTTTTTGGAGACAGGGACTTGCTGAGTTGCTTAGGGCTTTGCTGAGTTGCTGAGGCTGGCTTTGAATGCATTATCCTCCTGCCTCAGCCTCCAGAGCCACTGGAATTACAGGTGTGCAGCACCATGCCCGGCCAGGATTTCTCATTTATTATTTTTTATTTTCTGAGAAAATTTCCTCAACTTTATATTCTAAAGCTTCTAATTGAATTATTCATATTATTTTCCAAGAGATCTTTTTGTTTTCTGAAGAATTCTGCCTTGGATTGATGGTTGCAACATCTTTCTGAAGATATTTTGTCTTTTGACATTTCTCCCATCCTGAGTCTCCCAGTGGTTGTTTCTCTCTTTCATGGAGAAGCTTTCCTCATATTTCTTTTAATTCTTGGTTGGTCATTCATTTTTAATAGCACAGACTGACTACAAGTTCTGGAGGCATGGTGGGCACACCAACCATGATATTCACTGTGTTGTTACCTCACTGAGCAGTTTATCAAGGATGTCTCTGATGCCAGGATCTTATTCAGGCCTTTTCACTTGCACTGGTCAGATTCACAAAAAAATATTCTTCCACAAATACTAGGTTGGCTGAATTCAGTGAGAAAAGGAGGATGCTGGATCTTTGTATCCATTCATGTCAATTTTTTAGAGAATGGTCCCCATGTCATCCACTGTATCCAGTATCCATCAGTCTAGAAGACCCAATAAACATATCCCAAATACATAGCCATTCTTACTGATATCATAGCATATGTGCATTTTTAAAGAACAAATACTTTATATTTCACTTGTAAAACATTTTATTGTTTACATATAGCCTAGTGAAATGAACAGAGTCAGAAGACTCATAGTCTGGCTCAACAACTAATTTGTATGAACTTGATAAAGTTGCTTAACCTTGCTAAATCTTATTTCCTCACTTGAAAAACAGTAATGATACTATTTATTTTACAGAACAGCTGAAGATTGAATGAGATAGTTATATTGTTTTCCTCTCAAGTAACTGGTCAGAATAATTCTACCGTTCGCTACTACTTAATCCTTGTTCATCATCTCAATGCTAATTATTCTTAATAAATGCATTAAGACAACAGGTATCAATGTAATACTTTAATTTTGAATACTAACATTACCAAAGAAAAACAAACTAAATTATAGCCCTATTCTTTATTTTTAGAATACTGTTTTTTATAATAGTTATTCATATTATCCCATCAGAAATCCAATTTCATTAATTTTTTTTCTTAAACCTACTCAAAAAGTAAACAAATTACTTTTTTACATATGTGACAACCCCAAGATTACATGTGTAATTGCTTTACAGCTCTCCTTCTGGAATAGTATAAGTAAAATATATAACATGGGTAGTTAAATACTTTTCTCCCCCTACATTAGGGATGATAATATGTATGAAGATTAATTTCTTATGATTTATCCCTAATGAAAAAAAGTCACAGGTATATTATACTGTTTGTCAAGAATACATACATATAGTAGCCACACCTGCCATACACACCCTTCTAAGAATATTTCAACCATCATCATTATTTTCTTAATGACCCCTTATATAAGTATTTGTTGTTGAGAACACAAAAATCCCTTTTAAGGCAATTCTGCATGAAATTGTATTAAGAAATACTTTTGTTAAATGACATTGCGTATGTGTTGAACCCCCAAACACATTGCCTTTAGCCCTTAAAGTACTACTCTAAAAGGTAAACAAAATTTTTTTACATTATAAAAAAAATTTAAGCTGCTCTGCAACCTTTTTTTGCTAAAAGTTAGATACATTACACCAACCACTCCAGCAAGAGATTAATAAATAAGGATTAAATATTCTATTTTACAAAAACATACAGAATGGCCAATGTATAAGTGAAAGGTTTGTTTGATAATTTCTTTATCAAAGTATGTTCATTAATAAAGAATAAAACATGGTATAAAATGATAAAATGGTCACTAAATTGAAGATAATCACATGAGTTATCTAAAAATACCATGGCACCCTTGTTACAAACATTATTATTATTATTATTTTAAAAAAGACTGTGTTTCCTGGAACTAGAGGACTATTTGTCTCATAGCTTTTATTAAGCAAACTTGATGTAACCACCACATAGTGGCAAGAGATAGACTAGCTGTTTCCAGCTACAGAAAATATTGAATACTACCCTAACGTACAGAACATTTGCGATATAACCCATAACAGGTAAAGTAAATCATAGTGCAGTCTGTATTGAATTTCCTTAAAATATTTTTGCTTTCAATGGAGTATGTTCATTTCCCTGTCATTTGAGATCAGTTTTTGGTGCTTAGTAACTATTTTCATGTCCAGCCAAGATGTAGAGATTGCTGTGTGCCGTAGGATTTTCTGTTGGCCTACTTTCCAAAACGACAACCCTGAAATTAAACCAAAACAAAAGGCTTGTTTAAAAGTAAAAACAGGTTGCATGCTTCAAATACTAACCTCAAACCAGGAAAGAATGTCAATGTTCATGTTCTTATAAAATTACATAGAGATCACTGATGCATAATTCTTTTTTTATTTTAAATATTTATTTATTTATTTTCTTTTAGTTATTGGCGGACACAACATCTTTGTTGGTATGTGGTGCTGAGGATCGAACCCGGGCCGCACGCATGCCAGGCGAGCGCGCTACCGCTTGAGCCACATTCCCAGCCCCAACTGATGCATAATTCATATTTACATGTTATAGCTAAAAAACATACCTGAAAAGAACTGATGAGTATAAAATATCAAAATATTTTGATATTTGATCATTGTCTTATTTCAACTAAAAACAAATTTAAAAACACCAACAATAGGAATAACAATGCTTTAGGAATTTATATTAACAATGCTTTAGGACAAAAGAAGGTAGAAGAGCTGAGAAAATAAAACGGGATCCTAGGAGAACTTCATCCAAACTGTTCTTCCAGGTATTTGAAAACAAATAGTTTTAAACTAAGTATGAAATGAGACACCCCGCCCCACCCCCATATCCAAAAGCAGGGAAAGAGTCAATCAATCACTAAGAGGAAGATAAATAAATCAATCAACTGTGGATTGAGAATAATATAAAAAAATAATAGCTGGACATGGGTGGTGCATGCTTGTAATCCCAGTGGCTCTGCAGGCTGAGGTAGGAGGATTATGAGTTCAAAGTCAGCCTTAGCAAATTAGCAAGGCCCTAAGCAATTTCACAAGACACTGTCTCTATTTTAAAAAAGGAGGGGGGGGGCAGGGACAGATGTGGCTTAGTGGTAGAGAGTTTGCCTAGTATGCAGAAAGCCCTGGGTTCAATTCTCAGTACCACAAAAAAGGATGGGCTGCGGTGCTGGGGATGTGGCTCAGTGGTTAAGCACCCTCCGGACCCAGAAAAAAAAATTTTTACATAGGTTCTCCCACACCCAGCACAGACACAGATATCTATATTTAAATAATAAAATAAATTCTTAACTACTATTAAAATTAGAGGACAAAATAAACACTTTGGGATGTTAAAATCAAGGAGATGCCCAAATAAGTACATAATATGACAAGTAGGGCAGTGATCTATAAACAGCAGAGTTTTAGAGACAATAAGACCAAGAAGGTAACAGGGTAAAAACTCTGGGTAGAGGACTCGGAGCAAAACACATTACTGAAAGGAATGGTTTCTGACACAAAACTTCTGTCAAGCAGAATTCTTTCATGCTAGATCTCATTAAAGCATTATTTCCACATATAGTGGATGACCCACAACTCATTTGTCAGCCTTTCCTGCAAGAAGAGCCTCCCATTCTAGTTCTAGAGCCATTTACTAGGTGGTTCTCAAACTCATTCCCACGCTGCCCCCCATTTTTGCTGGCCTACTCCTAGGTTGCTGTGCTGTGTGCTTACCTTTTCTGCTAAGGCAGGCCTCATCATTTTTCAAAAGGTCCTTTCTCTCTTTACAAAACTCTTCCAATCTTTTATAGCATAACTTTATCCCTTCACCCCGAGCTTCCTCAAGCATCTAATATTTAAGCAATGACAGTGTGAATCTGAAGACCAGAGGTCTTCCAACCATTCCAAAGACCTAATGCATAATACCATAGCCAACTGTGCTGGAGTAACAACTTTTGGTAGCAAAATTGAAAGAAATGAATATTTTATTTGATAAAGAGGATGATAATATTCTTTGGAGAACAAAAGCTACCATTTTTTTTTTGCCAATTCTCATATTGTTTTTTTAATAAGATAACACAGTTTGGGTAGGCTGGGGTTGTGGCTCAGAGGTACAGTGCTCGCCTAGCATGTGTGAGGCACTAGGTTCAATCCTCAGCACCACAAAAAATTATTTTATTAAAGATTTTGTGTCACCTATAATTAAAAAATATTTTAAAAAAAGATAACACAGTTTGGGGATTTTTATCTGGTTTACAAAAAGACTACATAATCCTTTGCAATTTAAATTGACCCCCAAAACTGAGTTGAACATTTTCTGATATAAAAGCAAATATCAGGAGATACATATTTATAATAGTTGATAGTAGACAATACACCAGGAGAAATTATAAAAATGAAGGGTTCTGAAGTATCTGTCATGATTCTAGAGACATATACACCTATATTTACACATTTTGTCTTGGTTGAATATAACTCTGGAATCATGATCTTCACACTGAAATAAGATTGCTAAATTGAATTACTAAATATTATTCACTCTCAATAAATTATGGAAAAATTTCTTTCAATTGAAGAGCCCTCTAAGAATTTTAACTGAAACACAATTCAGACTGACAGTATAATTGAGAGTATAATCTTTGCACTCTTTGGTAAATGAATATAAACAATTACCTGTCTGATCCTAATAAGCGGAAAACTCTGGTTTCATCTGAAATCTCCTGGGTAACCTAGAAAGAAAACACCTATCAGTTACAACCTGGGCCCCCATATTGCTTAAATAATAATTTAAAACTCATTCAGATAGAGCAATTATTAAACAGAATGAATAATTTTTGAAAGGCTCAATTCCTCAAATGAAAAAAGTTTCATTTTTGACTATTAGTAGAAATGAATCAACATTTATGGAAGTCAGGCATTTTCCTTAGAACTCTGTGTGATATGCTCTATAATTCTCATACTATTGAAGAAGAACCTAAGACTCGGAGAGGTTGAGTAACTTGCTCAAGGTCACATAACCAGTAGAAGATTTGCCCTTTTTTTTTTTAAATTTCTGAGATGGAGATGTCTGCATGGGCATCCTGTGGCCCACCTGATTTCAGCATAGTTTGGTGGATGCTTTCAAGCACCAGTGTCTCACATTGGTGTATACCACAGGGTTCTTCTCTCCTTTCTCCAATGCTGAAGAAGGTGCTTGGCTATGCATCAGTATTATCTCTAAGTATGGAAAGTTTTGGGGCAACCCTTAACCAGGAAGGAACAGCAGTTGGTGCATAAATGCTCCAACCTCCCYACTTCTAAGTAAGTCAGTTCTGAGGTACATTCTATAGTATTCATTAGTGGTCCTTCCAGGATTACGGCCTGGTTGTCCCTGATGGGAACTAGGTTGTTAATATGCTTTTGTTGACTTTTTACACTTACACATTTTACATTCCTCATTCGACTTTTTACACTTATGCATTTTACATTCCTCATTCCATCAGCAGTTTTCTGGACTCTATTCCAAAATAAATTACCTCCATTTGAGACTTTTATCTTAGCTCTGCATTTAGAGGAATCTAAACTAAGACAGTATGAATGTAAAGTTAAGTATAAAGACAAAATGTTAACAAGGCATGCACAATCTAGCTGGGAAGGCAGAATTAATAAATGTGAGTCAGAAACAAGTTTGATGCTATACTAGATGGAGATGATTTCCAAGGTATTAAATATTCTAATCATTGTGGACTATAATGGATGAATATCAACACTATTTTGTGAAAGAAGACTTCAGCTAGATCCATGTTAAAGGGTGAGAATACAAACAGAAAGAAAGAAATGTATTAAAAATAGGTAACTAGGGGGATGGAGGTATAATTAAATTGTAGAGTACTTGGTTATTAGCAGGTGGGAGGCCTTGGGTTTGATGCCCAGAAACACACACACACACACACACACACACACACACACAGAGAAAACAGAATTTTGAATTTGATATGGTGAGAAACAGGTTCTCTTTTGTGATTTCTAATCATAAGAATGACATAATGAAAATAGCATTTAAGAATAATTAACCTTATGACAATAAGTGAGACTGTAGATTTCATCAAGAGCAGGGACCAGGTGACATTTAGTGACATGGGTCAATAACAGATGAGCTGATATATTCAGACAGTTGACTTTTGTCATTTTTCTCGTGGAAGCATTCTAATTCTGCCTATATGTAAGAGGCAGAACTATTTATTTACTTATGAATAAGAATATGAATAAAACTGAATCAAACAGAAGACTCTGAGCTTTCAGGTAAATCCACAAATTTGTGAGGCCATGGTGTAGACAGGCACAAATGGGAAGAGTCTTCTATAGCAGGATTCATCTTTCAAGGTAAGATCCCAAATCCTACCTCCTGTATGAAATATCTCCTGATTATCTCAGCTAGAAGTGACATTTGGAAACCCTTCAAATCCAGGCTCTGCCATTTAACTAGCTGAGTAAATTTGAATAAGTTACTTTACCATTAGGTACTTGTAAAAATGGGAATATAAATAGTATCTATCCATTGGATTATTCTGAGCCTTCTATGAATTAATATTTGTAATGTGCCTGGAATATCATAGGTGTTATTCATTATTTCCAATAATAGTGTCTTCAATGTAGTTGGTACTTCATACTAAATGAGTAAGATCTTAAGATTTTCCTCTGTCCTTTGATCCAATTCATATTCTTTATACTTTTAAATATAATATTTAAAAAGGAGCTATATATTTATAGATTATGGGAAGTATAATTACAGATTAGATGAATAAAATTACATAAACATATTTTGCAATTCATTGGGGCCTCTGAGAATTTTAAAATACAAAAATTAACATATTTGAGGATAGATTACAAATTTTTGCTCCACCAGTTCATAGCATTAAGGCATTAAACTCTGTAATGTAGGTTCAGAAAGAAAACACATAAAATGAACATTTCAACATTTAAAATCTTTAGTTGGAGTTGGCAGAGGTAAACTGAGAAAATGTACCTCATCTGACTTGAAGCTTTTACCCTGCATCCCATGTTTCCAGAAAGCCAGCACACTGTCTTGAAGGCATACTAAAAGAGATGAGGGAGAAATGAAATTAAAATAAAGCACACAGCATTTCATCATATAGTCCCCTTAACTGTTTTTAATAAATAATAATGTAAGGCTATTCAAATGCTTAGGGCAAAATTCCACTGTCTAGACCATTATTTCTCAACATTTTTGTGGCTAAGACATGTCTAAACTCAAATAATTTATTGGAGGAAGGTTATATAAGTTTTCAAGAATATACGTAATAGGCATTCCTTTAAACATGGGCTAACTTCTGATAAGCTTCTATAGGCATATTAATTTCTCTTTCATATACTGTATCTTTGAATAAAGTGAATAATAAAAACAAAGAATGGGTTTTGGATAAAAATGGTTATCCAAATAGTCATTAAGCATCTTTTCTATTCACATTTTCTCTATTACAAAATAAATTTTTAAAAATAAACCTTTGTGGGTTAGGGTTGTGGCTCAGTGGCAGAGAGCTTGCCTAGTATGTGTGAGGCACTGGGTTCAATTCTCAGCACCACATATTAATAAATAAAATAAAGGTCCATCTACAACTAAAAATATATTTTAAAAAATAAATCTGTCCTATAGTTCAAAATTTAATCACATTAAATATTTATGATCTAAGTCGATTCTTCTATAAAATTCTTAGTATTTAATCAAGTATTATAATGTAGGTATTAGAGATAATTAAGTAGAATTAGAAAAACATAAATATAAATAAAGATGATGAGGAAAGTGACTGAAAATTACTTGTATTGGTTATTAGACTACTAAGTACAAACTACATATGAAAAAACTGAGATACCAGTATGTCTTAATTAAAATAAAAAGGAGCTAAGGATCTATTTGTTAGATTCTCTCTTAAAAATGTTAAATTTTAGAAACTGGTATTTAATACCCAGTACATAAAGGAGTAAGAGAAGAAATAATTTTCTAAAATTCCTTCTGTTCTAGCATCTATTTAGCCAATAATTTGTCTGGATTCAAGAAAGTTTAGGTTTTCTGCTTCAAAAATTTAAATTTCCCAATCACAGGTAAAATATTTTCTGTCAGATGTTAATAGAGACATAAACATATTTTGTTTTCTTTTGGTGCCGGGGAGTGAACACAGGGCTTTCTCTGCTCAGTCACTGACTATAATATCAGTCCCTTATATTGTGACAGAGCTAAACTCTGTATATTGTGACATACCAAACTCCAGTTTAGTATGAAAATCTCATATTAAGGGAATTTAAAAACAAACAAGTAAGCAAGCAAGCAAGCAAACAAATAAAATCTGGTAAGTAGCCAAAAACATATTTTTAAAAGTACATGCTTATAATTATAAAATGCATAAATATTGTATGGTCTAAATAAAAAATGACAACTTTAATACTTTCTGTGATTTACAGCAGAATCCTATCATCAATTACTCAAAATGTAGTCATAATATTTTTCTCACAAGTTCTACCACTCCTAAGGTAAATACTTAACTGCTGTAAAAATCAAGGAGAATGTAAGTAATGATAAATTATAATGATTTTTAAAAATCATAAAACCAATGAATAAGTCAGGTAACATGGCGCACACCTATAATCCCAGCAATTTGGGAGGCTGATGTAGGAGGATTGCAAGTTTGAAGCCAGCCTCAGCAACTTAGCTAGACTCTCAGCAACTTAGTAAGACCCTTTCTTAAAAAAAAAAAAAAAAAAAAAAAAAAAAAAAGAACTGGAAATGTAGCTCAGTGGGAGGGTGCCTCTGAGTTCAATATCCATTATCAAACAAGAACAACAAAGTATACAAAACAAACAAAAAATGACAAAAAATAATATGACAAAAAACAAATGACAAATAATAATACAGTAAAAGCACTCTTGGACAAGGAAGCAAATTAAAATGTAGGAAACTTGCTATTTATATATAAACAGACCTAAAAGCAATAGCCATCTATATACTCCAACCATGGCATATCTAACACTGCTATCATATTACATAAATAAAACTTCTTGCTTTGGAGATAATTGGGAGAAGTATAATTCACTTGGTGCAGCAATAGGAATAATGAACAAAAAATTTAAAAATAGTTTCAAGTTTTAAATATTCAGGATACAACAATATGGTCTAGACCTTTACTGTACAATAAGACACCTTTACGGTACAATAAGACAGCTACTGGTCATATGAAGCTACTTACATTAAAATTTAATTTTAGAAGTTTAAAGTAATATAGCACTAGTCAAGTTTCATGTACTTACTAGCCACATGTATTTTCATCATTACAGAAATTTCTACAAGACAGTGGTACTTAGATAACTCTAAGTACAGAATAAACAGAAACAAAACAAAAACCCAATTATTCCAAACACAATAATAAAAAAGGGAAACTTACCTACAGATTCAATGCGAAAATCAAAACTTAGCTCAGAGGCTAGTTTCTTACTTGATTTTAGTTTTCCTTGTAGATTTACAATTTTTACATACTCTTAAAAAAATAAAAAAGTCAATTAGAAATGTAAATTTCCTAAAATAAATGTAATAATACATGGATGTTATCTGGGTATCAAATAATATTCTTATCAATGTCAATAATTTATCTGGATTCAAGTATGCCCTGTGAAATGTGTTTTAAAAGATATAACAGTGGTGTATCCTTTGGTAGATGGCAATTCTGCTACTATAATTTCTTTTTTTACGCTAGTATATGCCAAACACTGACATTCTCACCATTTTTTTTGGAGGGGAGGGGGGGTGTACTGGTGATTGAACTCAGGGGCACTCGATCACTGAGCCACATCCCCAGCCCTATTTTGTATTTTATTTAGAGGCAGGGTCTCACTGAGTTGCTTAGCACTTTGCTTTTGCTGAGGCTGGCTTTGAACTCAGGATCTTCCTGTCTCAGCCTCCCAAGTCATATTCTCACTTTTTAAAAGTGTTTTCTTCTTTAAAAGTTGCTACTTTGGTATCAAAATATTTAGCAATGGAGTTGTTTTTTTCCCCTTTTAAATTACATAACATACGGTAAGAAAGACATGCAGTAATTCATAACTTTACTGTATGAGTCCTGTTCTACCAACATAGACAAGGCAAGAAACAGTACTCTGAAGGTAGTAAACTAATTCTCTTTCCTTTTTTAGCTATTTGTTTTTAAATTTCATTGTCTTAGCTCTGACTCAGAAGATAATCTTTTCTCTGTACTACTTTTTCATCTGTCTACTATCATGATTAGAAATTATAGGCCTACCTCTACTTCTTTCTATCCAAACTGACTTATAAATGGTATAGTTGACAATAAATTTTTTAAGTCTTCCTCTACCACTTTAATAAACAGAAAGCTCAAGAAAGTTACTTTCTAGTTACCTTAGTTCATTGGAAATCAAGGCCTAGTTAGTCAATTTTTTAAAAAAAAAATTGTGAAAATATGTCACCAAAACGAACACCAAGCAAAATTTATCTTCCTCTGATGACTCACAAAGTTATTTAGAAATTTAACACTAAAGGTTCAGAAACACTAAATTCTGGTTATTTCATTATTTAGCTAATACCAAACTTTCTATTTGATTGGATAAAAAAGTATTGATCAAATATACTTACAAGTAAATGAATAACACTCAAATTTTATCAGTATTCATAGAATCAAGTTCCTAACAAAGGGATGACGGAGAATGAAACACTATAGATTTTAGTTGACTTTTCTATGATATTCTAGAAAGTAAGTCCACTAGGGAATCCTTCGGAGCACAGGGATTATAACAGGAAAACAGGAAAAATCAGTTACAGAATAATCTGTAAAATAACTTTGACTACCTATAGGTAAGTCTACCCATTAAAAACAAATTGAAATGAACCAACTGTAGAAAACACTGCCAAATTTCAAATATGATTCTAGTAGTGGGATTCCACTTTGTAGGATTCACTGCATGAAAATAAGGTGGGTTTTAAGAATTAATGTTTCATTTGCAAAATCAAAATAATACTTGCAGCTAAAGTTTTTTCTATCTTTACTGTATAATACAACATATTTCTATCAATAACAATGCTCCCTGCATCAAAGAATCACAGTTAGCAAGTGGAGATGTCAAATGGAATCTTGGCTCCAAGACTTTATAGTACTGTATGACTTTATAGTACTGTAACCTTCTATTTTGCACTAAGGGACATGAGATAGAATAGTTGATACAGAATTTTATCCCAAGTATGGCAAACAGTTCTAGTCTAATTTCTCCATGCAGGTCCAATATAAAATAAAATAAAATAAAATGACAGGATAGCACTGATAAACTTATAAAAATTTTGAATTATATTTTCATAGAATCATTTCCAATAAAAGACCTGTTTTATCAAGTAGCATACGCAAGATAAACTTTAAAATAGTACTTACTGTCTAAACACACTAGTACAGTGTCTCTTTCCAACTGTGTCACATGGATGGAATCTAACTGTTGACTGCCTAAGGGAGAGAAGAGGTTACAGTTATATAATAGACTTTAACAAACAAGAGATCAGGAAATAAACACAAGTCTGAATTTTGCTATGATTTAATTTAATCTTTGAAATTCAACACATAAATTACATTTTTGTCATGTTATCTTTCAAAAACAGTTTAGGCAACAAAACATAAGACCTAACATGGATAACTGAACTGAGAAAAAAACTCAGTATTACTTTAAAAAAATTTTTTTTAGTTGTAGATAAACACAATACCTTTATTTTATTTATTTATTTTTATGTTGTGCTGAGGATTGAACCCAGTGTCTCATGCATGCTAGGCAAGTGCTCGATCACTGAGCTACAACCCCAGCCCCTCAGTATTATTTTTTTTCCCCAATATTTTTACTTGATGGACACGCACCTTTATTTATTTATTTATTTATTTTTATGTTGTGCTGAGGATTGAACCCAGTGTCTCATGCATGCTAGGCAAGTGCTCGATCACTGAGCTACAACCCCAGCCCCTCAGTATTATTTTTTTTCCCCAATATTTTTACTTGATGGACACGCACCTTTATTTATTTATTTATTTATTTTTATGTGGTGCTGAGGGTCGAACCCAGTGCCTCACATGTGCAAAAGCAAGTGCTCTACCACTGAGCCATAACCCAGGCCCAGTATTACTTTTAATTAATATCTTGGCTGGTTCTAGAAAGATAAGTCTTAAAAATAAAATGAAGTAAGGAGTTAATATGGGGAGGAAAGTAAAATGCATGACATACATGGACTCTGTGTTTTACAGAGCCAAAGGAAAATAGAAACAAGATCAGTAGGGAAATTGAGCATCCTTGAAATAAAATTAAGTCAGTGACTCAAAAGAACACAAGGATTAATTACTATGATCAGAGAGAAATTTTCCTGGTATTGGAATGTTAATAGGTAAGTGGGATTCCTTTAGAAAGAGGACACTGAGTAGCTATAATGAACAATATCATCAATAATATATGAGCAGAATACAACTCTTTCTTCACTTTGCTGATACTCAAGGGCTGTGTGTCTTTTAAAATTTGCTAATATAATGTTGCAAAATATTTTTGGTAAACTATTTTAAGCACTCAACTGCTTGAATGGTCTAGCTGAATCTAAGGAAAGATTTTAGGGCTGGGGATGTGGTTAAGTGGTAGAACATTCGCCTGGCATGTGTGAGGCCCTGAGTTCCCATTCCCAACACTACCAAAAAAAAAAAAAAAAAAAAAATTAGTCATTCTTAATTATACCTCTCTGGATAGGCTAAGAATCTTCTCCTTTGAAAACTGCACAAACATAAACACAAAGTTTTACATATTTTGGCATGTTTATGGACCTTTCAAAGGTGACACATTCTGAAGAATCCAGAAGTACACAATTGATAAACTGTTTCTCAAACAACACACCCAAAATCATTTTACTCAGTTAATCTATGTTCATGCAATCATTCTACAAATATTTACTGAGTACTGACCATATATATGCTAAGCACCATCCTTGGAGATAAGGATACTGAAATAACAATTACAATAATGAAACGAAGACTGGAAGGGTCTTGGAGTAAGATTTTTCCAAGAGGATTTCGTTTTAATGTTACAACTATGCCAGTTGAAGGCACTATTAGCATCTTGATTTAACAATGAACAAAGTTGGGAGTTGGATCAACAATCACCTGTGAGGGCTGGGGTAGAGCACTTGCCTAGCATGCATGAGGCACTGGGTTCTATTCTCAGTACCACATATAAATAAATAAAATAAAGGTTCACCAACATATTAAAAAATATTTAACAATCAAACAAAAAAACCCAATCACCTGTGAAAATACAGAAGCCTATGAAGGACAAAGTGCTGGATCACAAAGGCTGCCTCATCTCTGCTTGAAGGTGTTCTGAATGATATCTGTGGGCAGAATCCTAGCCTTCCTAAGATCTTGGACAATGTAAAAAGTGGGTAGAATAGGACACTTCAGGCATTTAAAAGACAAACAGCAAAACCTTCAAAAGAGTCCTGAACTCAAACCCCCAAATTTAAAATAGAACTCAATGAACTCTAACCGTGGGTGATAGAATCTCCTAATATATCACACAGGAGAAAGTGAATGTAAATATACACTAGATAATTGTATGAAATTATCTACTCCCAAAATCAGCACAAAAGAAAAGTTGGGGCTAAAAATGATCTTAGTTTTTTTTTTTTTTTACAGTTTTTGTTGGTTATTATTTATTCATTTATTTTTCTGATCATGTGATTTTTTAAAAATGAGTGGATTGAAAGTCCCATTTTGGGGCAGTAACTACATAATAGGGAGATATTTCTTTTTAGGTTGCTTATTTCTCATGATAATAAAGCAATGTCGTTGTTTTTATACCTTTCTGTTAGCTATAGCAGGAGGTCACCCATTCTACTCAACTCAAACCATTAAACTAAAAAAGAAAGGTGGGATGTGGGTGCAGAGGGAGGATACAGAATGCATTCTTATTTCATTGTACTGGAAATTATGATTTGGTCCATAAAGAGAGTTATAGTACAAGACATACTGTAGCTGGTTTGTATTGGGTTGTTAAACTTTCAGGAATTTTGCAAACCACATGACATCAGGCTGGTAGTTTGAAATTGGCTATTAAGGTAGTGTTTATACATGGAAACAGGCAACCACAACAAATGAATGTACCCAAAGACCCTGCTATTAAACATTTACTAGGACATCACTGGTTTGTACTATTTTTTCTTCTCCTTTTTTTTCCTTTCTCTTTTTTTTAAAATGTGGTATTAGGGATCAAACTATAGGTGTGTGCCACATGCCCAGCTATACATTCTAATTTTAAGTTTGAGAATATTCTTTCCAATCTTTTCTGAACTTTCACTGAGATGTGTCTGATTAACTCCCAAGCTAACCCCCATTCTTAGGAAGTACAATGGATAGTTAAATAGAAAAGTTTGAAGGCTACATTTGAGAAGCTTCTACTGAAGTCTGAAGGGCACACTGAACAAGTGTGGGGAGAAGAAAGGATAAAATCGGACAGAGAAAAAAAGGTAACTCCTTGCTTCAGAAACTGATGAAATTTTAAGAGCAGCTTAGAAAATATAATTATTTATTTAGTAGGTCCAAAGATTAATTGGTAACAACTCAAATCTTCAAAGTCAGGAATCACTAAAATTTTCCTTGGTAAAACAGTTTATATAAAATTGCCTGTGGCAGATAGAGACTGTAAACTACATATACACAATTCCTTACTTCCTTGGGAAACTATTTTCTGAATTTTTATTTAAATAGTCTACACTAGCTAACTTAAGTGGTTCTGTTTCTATCACATGTAAAAGCATCACCATTTCAACATAACGTAAGACACTTACCTGCACCAATTTCGGTAAACCATGAAGATGCAGAATTCAAATTGATTGTCTCAAACTGAACTACTTGATTTGATTCTGTGCCTTTACTAATAGCTACACAGACCATAGGGTATTCCTGTTCTGGTATCACCAGCATTTCAAAAACGTTCAAAGGACTTGGTAAAGGAAAATCAAAGTGCTGAAAAAGATAAAACAATAGAACTATTATTTGAAAACAGTCTCACTTGTCATACTGCTATTGAAAAAAGTCAATGGAAAGGCTTCAATTTTCTTTTCTTTTGGTACTGGGAATTGAACCATTAAGCTAGATTTCCAGTTCTTTTTATTTTTCTTTTTAGACAGGGTCTAAGTTGCTGAGGGTCTTGGTACATTGTTGAGCCTGGCCTCAAACTTATGATCCTCCTGCTCTAGCCTCCCAAGTGTCTGGGATTACAGACATGTGCCACCATGCATGCTTTCCAATTTTTTTGATTTATGTAGTTCTATAAAGGCCCACCTCTAAGATGACAATAACAAGGATGAATGTTCTACACAAATGTGTTTCAGAGAATTGACCATGTTAATATTTATGGTTGTGATGGTTCTCTAAGTATATTAAGTAACTTAAGTCAAAGAGGAATCTTAAGAATACAAAAACCCCTAAATCAAATATATAAGTACTACTAATTATAAATGTGCTGATCCTAAATAGCAGTAATAGGATTTTATAATTTTAGTTAATTACTAGTATTTTATAAAGAAAAATGTAAACAAAGTAACATATACCTTTATCAACATGAATTTCTGCATTGGTTCATACCACTGAAGTAAAACAATTCCAGACTGTAAAGCTCCACAGAGGTATTTATGTCCTGTATAAGGATTTCTAACTGGAAAAACAAAACAAAACAAAACAAACAAACAAAAAAACAATAAAACCAGATACTCAAGGAACACTGAACACCTTATGTGAAAATATAGTTGAGCTAAAAGCAACAACTGAGCTTTACTCACCTAAAAGCTAACTTAGCTATAAAAAGGCAGTATTGATTCAAGGGGAAAAAATAATGGAATGTGATCCTAAATCACTATCAAAATATAAATGGAAGAAGAAACTATATGAAGTAATTATTTAGCTATTAAAATAGTGTTTCTGTTAACTAGGATGACAAGAGGAAACAAAGATGCCTTTTTCTTTTGGTTTTGTTAGCCTTTCCTTTTCATGTTCTATTCTCAATTTTAAATTATATACATTTATTTCTAAAAATTTTTTAACATGCTAGGTTCTTTAGCATAAGAACTTTTTAAGAACACTATTTTCAGAACTAAAACACCTACACTAATATATAATCCAAAAGCTACTTCTATGTAAACTGACTAAAAGAATAATGTGTGACAAGGTCTGAGGACAACTGAAATTTCACTTTTGGCTTTGAGTATGTATACATTAATTCATCTTGCTGGAACATCCTTTTTCAAAACTACAAAAATTCTTATTGGTCTTTCCTTCTCCCCAACTTGAATCCCATCAACAATAACATATATTCATTATAAAAACAGTAATCTTCAGTAAGTTCCACAAGTACTACTCAAGTATGTCTTGGAATGTAAGCTTCTAGAGTCTGTTGAGTCACATATGAGAATCTGATTACAGATGCAGACATGATCCCCCAAGGAAGATGATAAAAAAATTGCTTATGCAATCATATGCTGCACAACATTTCAGTCAATGATGGGATCCATATACAATGGTGGTCCTATGATTATATTGCCTGGTGATATCTTAGTGTGTGTGTGTACATTGACAAAAATCACCTAATGATGAACTTTTCAGAATTAATTTCCATCATTCAATGACTCATAATTATACTTGTAGAACATCTGTGGTTAAATGTTTTTGTTCTAGAAAGTTTGGAAAATGCTTTTGAACTATTACATAGAATGAAGATTCATGTATAAGCTCACTGATCAAACAAGGAATAAATAGAAAATAAGGAGCCTAAGATCTAAAGATACCGGATCCAGACTTGAATCTAGGTTCTATTTCTGTTACTTGCTTGTGACATAATCAGTTTCAAGAGTTAAGTGTTTTAGATAAGATAGTTATGTAGTAAAGAATTTAATCTTGCCCAAAAAGAAGTCTGTCCTCTCTTCTGCTCTTAAGAAATAATTTCCAAATCTTTGGAATGTCATGCTTGATAGGAGTTGTCTTTGTCTGGAAGCCTCAGGTCACTGGATAGGTCCAACAGTACTAAGACCAGATAGTCATTATGAGGGCTGGTCATGTCAGAAAGACCAGCAATGTGACTTAAGGTGGGGCTTTAAGTCATGCAGCATGAGCAGACCTCTGGAGGGATTGTATATTGAGATCAGTCATGTGGGAAATCAAACCAGCCTTCATGATGCAATCCCAATAAAAACTCTGGACACTGAGGATTGAATCAGCTCTCCTGATTGGCAATGCTTGAGTGTACAGTCACATAGTGATCGTGGAAAAGTAATAGCATTGGTGTCCATTAATCCATAGGGAGAGGGTAATAGAAGCTCTATATTTGGTAACTTTTCTTGTACTCTACACTGTCTTCTTCTTCTCTGAGTGGATTTTAACTTGTATTCTTTATTTGTAATAACCTGTAATTGTAACCATGAGTATAACTGTTTTCAGGGAGTTCTGAAAATACCTTTAGAGAATTTTTTAATCTAAGGGTACTTCTAAAAACCTACAAACTTATAACTGGTATCAGAAGCAAAGTGTCGTCTTGTGTGGACTCTCATCTCCATACTTGGTAAAATTCCTATAATAATGTTCATAAATAACCAGAAGTAACTAGCAGATGATAAGTGTTAACTAAATGGAAGCTAGGACACTAGCAGAAATGTGGCCTCAGGGACTACGGTTTAAAACATTCTAGGAACACTAGGCTGTGGGAAAACATTAAGGTTATTATCTCTAAGCATTTCTATACTATGTCACTCTATACATTCTTGTGCTTCACTGACAACTTAACTCTTCTTAAAAAAACCAATACACCTTTATTTTATCTGTAAGACTCTTTAAATAATTTTAAATGTTAAAAGATCTAATCATCCAGATTTTTTTTTTAAAGAAGGAGAGAGAGAGAGAGAGAGAGGGAGAGAGAGAGAGAGAGAATTTTAAAATATTTATTTCTTAGTTTTCAGCAGATACAACATCTTTGTTTGTACGTGGTGCTGAGGATCGAACCCGGGTCGCACGCATGCCAGGTGAGCGCGCTACCGATTGAGCCACATCCCCAGCCCCATCCAGATTTTTTGATCTACTTACCTATACAACATTTGTGGCAGCCTTTTGTATCAGGAATCTTTGTTGTTAAAGCAAACTTTCTGAAAACAAAAGATAATATAAATGTACTCTGTTGCAGTGGTTGCCTTACTGTGATTTATGAATCAGTTACACCAAAATCAGATAGCAAGAAGCTTTAAAACAACTTGTACTCTTGACTCCACACTGTCTGATTTTAGAGGACTGAGATAGGGCCCAAGAATCTGTATTATAAAACTTTCACAGTTGATTCTCACAGACAATCCAATTTAGAAAACATTGATATTTTGCAATCTGGATGACATACATTTTAAACTACCTTTCAAAATTAAGGTAAAGGAAGTTTTCTTTTTTGGTGGCATTGGGATTGCACTCAGGGCTTTGTATATGTTAGGTGAGTATTCTTTACCACTAAGCTACATCCCTGCACCTTGATTTTTTGAGACCTTACTGAGTTGCTGAGGCTGGCCTAAACTTGTGACCTTCCTGCCTCAGTCGACTCAATTTCTGTGGGCTGGAGGTGCACTGATTTAAAATCTCCAGACCAACTGGCATTCAGTGAAGACCCTCAAGGCCATCTAAGCCTAAACCCTGCCTCCAGGAATTCTGCCTTTGGGATTACCTCTCTCACTCCAGCAATTCAGAGGTGGAGCATCATGATCCAAATGACCCCACCGAAAACTGCTGAGAAGAAAAACTGAGAATCTTTTGAACTCCAACAGAAAGATTTCTTTAACTTTTCATCAAGACTTTTTTAAAAAATTCTTTTTCTCTGTTTGTGACCTTAATGGTATATGGATATTTATACATATTCATATTTATTTTTTTCCTAATTTCTAGCATTTTTGAAGCCAGTTATTTTTCATGGTTTAGTTTTTTAAAGAACTAGAATGTTTGATTAGTATATTTTAGTTTTGTTTTATATTTTTTTGTTAATTAAAAAATTTTACTTTATATTTTTTCTTCTGTTTCCCTTGATTCTCTCTTTTCCTGTAACAGCCAAACTCTACTCTTTCTTTCACTCTTCCTTTAATTTTTTACTTCTTCTCCCCTCCTCCCTCATAATCATCACATCCTATATCACTTCTCTTCCCTCCCTAGTCACCATTTGAAATTATAAACCCTTTTTCAAACTTGCTGTTCCTATTGTAGGCAATAACTGATCATATCATTTCTGATTATTGTGATAATTAACACTGTAGATGTCATAGCAGGAACTATTGGGTTTAATTCTATATATTGTTTGCATAGGTTGTTGTTATTATTTGTTATTATTTGTCTCCCCCTAAACAGTGAGGTACTGGAAATCTTCAGGGGCACTATAAGTCGATAGGGTAGAAACTCTAATCCATAATGTTAGATGGGTAGATATACAACATGAAAAAGCAAGGGAACAAAATGCTCCAAACAAATCAAGATACTCTGTGGAACCAACCTAGATGCCCTTCAATAGATGAATGGATTTAAAAATGTGGCATTTATACACAATGGAATATTACTCAGCACTAAAAAATAACAAGATCATGGCATTTTCAGGGAAATGAATGGCATTAGAGCAGATTATGCTAAGTGAAGTTAGCTAATCCCTAAAAAACAAATGCCGAATGTCTTCTCTGATATAAGGGGGGTGACTCAAAACAGAGTAGGGAGGAAGAGCATGAGAAGAAGATTATCACTAAAAAGGGACGAGAGGTGGGAGGGAATGGGAAGGAGAAGGGGAATGGCACAGAAGATGGAAGGAGAACCTCATGGTTATACAAAATACATATATGATGGTATGAGGGGGAAGAAAAAAAAAGAGAGAGAGAAATGTGTCACAGTAGCCTGGGTAGAGAGAGGTGATGGGAGGGGAGGAGAGGGAAGGAGGGATAGGGAGGACAGCAGAATACAACAGACACTAGTATTGCTGTATGTATACACGTGGCTGTATAACCAATGTGATCCTGCAATCTGTACACGTGGAAAAATGAGAATTCATACTCCATTTGAATCAAATGTATGGTATGTCAAGATCTTGTATTGTCTTGAGCAACTAATAATAATAAAAAAAAGATACTCCACTAACAGAATCCATCGACACAACAGTGAAAGATATGTCAGGGAAGGAGTTTAGAATGTATATAGTTAAACAGAACTGTGAAGTAAAGGATGGTATAAGAAATGAAATCAGAGAGAAAATATAGGAAGTGAAAGATCACCTCAATAAAAAGGCAGAGATTCTGGGAAAAAAAGAAGAAAAGAAAATAGAGTTGACCGTGGAGAGAAGATGTTAAGAAACCATGAACAGAACTTTCAAGAACTATTGGATAACATGAAAAGACCAAATTTAAGATTTATTGACATAGATGAAGATGTAGAGATACAAACCAGAGGAATGCACAAGCTTTTCAATAATATCAGAAAATTTCCCAACCTAAAGAATGAAATGGAAAAAATACAAAAAGCTTACAGGACACCAAATGTACAAAAACCCACACCAAGGCATATTATAATGAAAACGCCTAACATATGGAATAAAAATACAATTTTAAAGGCTGAGAGAGAAAAATATCAGATTAGATATAAGGGGAAACCAATTCAGATCTCAGCTAATTTCTCAACACAGACCCTCAAAACTAGGAGGTCCTGGAATAACATACCAAGCTTTTTCTTTTAGCCAGTAAAATTAAGCTTCAGATTTGAAGATGATATAAAAACCTTCTATATAAACAAAAGTTAAATGAATTTGCAACCAGAAAGCCTGCACTACAGAACAGTCTCAACAAAATACTTCATAAAGATGAAATGGAAAAAAAAATGAAAACCAGCGAAGGAAGAAACTACACTAAAGGACAGTCAATCAAAGGAGAAACCAATTCAAATTGAAAACTAGAAATAAAACCAAATGACAATGTGATTTCTGCAACCTGTACAATCAGAAAAATGAGAAATTATACCCATTTGAGTCAAATGTATGAAATGTCAAGATCATTGTACTGTCATGTGTAACAAAAAAAAAAATAGATAAAAATTATGAAAAAAAATCCAAACGAAATCATATTTCAATAACAACCTAGAACTAATGTTAGGACATTAATATGTCCTAAACTCATCAATCAAAAGACATAGATTGGCAGATTGGATTAAAAAACAAGACCCAACAATATGCTGTCTCCAAGAGACTCACCTTATAGGCAAAAGACATCCAGAAACTGAAGGTGAAAGGATGGGAAAAAAAACATATCACTCACATGAATCACATAAACAAGCAGGGGTTTCTATCCTCATATTAGATAAAGTGGACTTTAAGCCAAAGTTAATCAGAAGGGATGAAGAAGGACATTTCATACTGCTTAAGGGACTAACACATCACCCAGACATAACAATCATAAACATTTATGGCCTAAACAATGGAGCATCTATATATATCAAACAAATCCTTCTAAATTTCAAGAATCAAATAGACCACGACACAATAATACTGGGTGACTTTAACATGCCTCTGTCAGTACTGGATAGATCCTCCAACCAAAAACTAAATAAAGAAACTAGAAGTAAAAAAAAAATAATAATAATTTAGACTTAACAGACATATATAGAATATTTCATCCATCAATGACTGAATATACTTTCTTCTTAGCAGCACACAGATCCTTCTGTAATACAACCATGTTATGTAAGCTATCACATGTGTTGGCATACAATTTTAATATTACCTTAATATATTTTTAGCATCTGTAGGGTTATTTTGATAGCTCCTTTTCCATTGATATTGTTCTTGCTTTTTCCTTGATTAGACTTGTTTATTTTTATTGAATTTTAGCTGTATTATTTCTTCTCTAAATATTTCATATATTTTTACTCCTATTCTTATTTTTCCTTCCTACTGCATAATTTGAAAATAATTTGATTATTATTTTAGCTTTTTTCGGATAAAAGTACTTTAAGTTTTAAATGTTCACCTGAGTACTATTTCATCCCAGAGATCCTGATTTTTTAAGCATTCATTATCACTTAGTTCAAACCACTTTTTATTTACTTTTCTTGTGCTTTCTTCCTTTTCCTCTGAGATATTTAGAAGTATACTATTTAATTTTGAAATAGATGATTTGTGGGGGTGCGGTTCTATATATCTTAAGGTGATTTATTTATTTATTTTTATTTATATATAACAGCGGAATGCATTACAATTCTTATTACATATATAGAGCTAAATTTTTCATATCTCTGGTTGTATACATAGTATACTTGCACCAATTCATGTCCTCACACATGTACTTTGGATAATAATGATCATCACACTCAACCATCATTAATTACCCCATGGCCCTTCCCTTTCCTCCCACCCTTCTGCCCTATATAGTGTTCGTTGATTCCTCCCATGCTCCCCATCCTTATCTCACTATGAATCAATTTCCTTATATCAAAGAAAACATCCGGCATTTGTTTTTTTGGGATTGGCTAACATCACTTAGCATTATCTTCTCTAATTCCATCCATTTACCTGCAAATGCCATGATTTTATTCTCTTTTATTGCTGAGTAATAGTCCATTATATATAAATGCCACATTTTTTTAATCCATTTATCAACTGAAGGGCATCTGGATTGCTTCCACAATTTAGCTATTGTGAATTGTGCTGCTATAAACATTGATGTGGCTGTGTCCCTGTAGTATGTTGTTTTTAAAGGTGATTGATTTCTAATATAATAAATCATGCAGGAAACACAGTCTGCATGATTTCAGATGTAAAAAAAAAGTAATGGAAATGCTTATTATATTGATTGTATTGTTTACATACATGTCAAAACATCCAATTTCATACTTCAAATATGTGCATTTTATTGTACTTCAATTTTACCTCAATAAAACTATGGAAAAAAAAAGTAGCTGGGATTATAGGTGTGTACCACTACACCTGGCCTAAGGAATTTGTTTTGTTTTGGTTTTTTACTGGGCAAAGAATACTGGTTGTTTTAAAAATGACTCCCATCAGAGTCAAGATGGTATTCTGTACCTTGGCAGTATTCGGTCTGGAAATCTGTGGGTCTGAATGTGGGCAGCTAATCCTGGCTTTTTGGCTTGTTCAAACAAAGCAATAAGATTATGGGAGTAGAGCTGAAACGTTTTTCCTACAAAAGAGCAAACAACATGTTACTTTTCTTAGAATCATATCCAGCAGAGAAATACATTTTCAAGTAAAAAATATACATATAATTACCTTCTAAAATGAGGAGTCCAGTAATGTTCAAAAGTTAAGAGAGAAGAAAACAAAGCAAATAAAGAATCTCAGTTAATACCATTTTAAAAAAGTAATTTTTAAGTGAGTAGATAATTCTGCTTCATAACACTCAAATTTGGTATATTCTGACAAATAAGTGATTTGGACTGAATATATGTAAACTTTCATGATGCCAGCACAGAAAAGGAAACTGTTAAACACTGATGTACAAAACCTTATAAATCAAGTTACAATGAAGTGTATGTAATAATTTTGGTACAAAGTGGAAATTCCTATAAAACTGTATTCTCTCTGGGATAGAATACTTATCCATAATTTATCAAATTATCTTAGATTAAAATAATTGTGAATGAATTAAAATAAAATGGAATGAAATTGTAAGAAAAGTAAGATAAACCAATATTATAAGCCAAAATAAAAGTATAAATGGGGTACATTTTCATTACATCAAAAACATTAGCTGTGTTAAGCAGTGGAAGACAAGGTAACTATCTTTTTTGACTTCTCATTATATATGGTGTGGTAATATAACAACATAAAACAGTATTTACTTTTTTATTATTAGAAAAAATGTATATATATATATATATACACGTAATATTTTTTCTTCTATGTATAATCTTAGCTTAACAAAATTATCTTTATTTTCTCAGAATAGAAACACTCTGGTTCATACTATACCACCCTTCCGCTCTGTTTCTCCTATATACACAGTTATCCAGCTAGCCAGGTATCCAGCTACCCACGTGTACATGGACAAAAAAGTTTTCTCCTGTTGACCTCTGCTATCTACCTTCTACCAAGTTTTGTAAGTCAATTTTATCAGAAGACAGAAGTTACTTATAAACTAATCTCCCCTGCTTTCCCATAGTTACTTTGTAAATATATATATGATTACCCTGTGTAGTTCTTAAGCTTATTTCTGAAGACAATTATGACCAGGGATAAAAGCAGCAAGAGAAAAGTAATTTTGTGTGAAATTTAGAATTGTTAACTTGGACAGAATTGGGTTTAAGTTTCTTTTCACAAAAGTAATATAGTATATTAATATTTGCTAAAAAATGAAAAACAGTTTTGGGAAAATATAACTAAAGTCAAAAAGATTAAGTATTCTTTTGAGCTCCTCTACTTTTTAGAAATCATTTATGTACAAACAAAATGCTCTTCATAAATACTGTCAGTAGCTCAAATATACAGATTTCTGAAGAATCCTTACTAGAGAGAAATAATAATTACTGTTCTGTTCTCTACTTTCAGAATGAAACCTCTAGCTAGCAATTTATATCTAAAATGTAAGACGATATGGTCTGGTAGGTATGAATTAAAAACCACTTTGTCTTACCATCCCAGATGCAGAACACCTATAAAATCTGAAGTTGAGCAATAAATATATCCCTTATGGTAACTCTGAAAACCTGTCTGAATATTTATTATGTTTGCAAATTTGAAACTTAAAGGGCCAAAACAAACAAACAAAAAAGTTTAAAAATACCATCCACCCATCCATTCACTACTACCAACAACCAAAAAGGAAAACCCACAATAACCAGAATTAGAATAGGTTGCTCTGGAATCACCTCACTTAAGAACCTTTAAAACATTAATCCAAGGTAGTGGATTAATGTGGTTCAGAACAACCTGAATGCCACCACCAAATATCTGCCTAAGACTTCACAATTTACTAAGCACTTTGGATATCAATTCATTTAACCCTCACAACAACCTCATAAAACCGTTCTAATCCCATTACCCTCATTTGACAAATAAGAAAACAGTCCAAGAAGGTAAGTGACTTGCTAAACATCACAGAGAAAAGAGCAGTTCAATCTACTTCTTGCCCTTCAACTGTTAATATTCCATCGCTGGGGAGGCTGAGCTGAATGGAATGGCCACAGGTATTAATCACTGTGCTACCTGCCCCCTCACACTCCCCCAAGTATTTAGAAGCTTGAATGGTTTGAGAAGAAAACATCTCCAAGTCCCAAAGTTACTATAATACAGTTACATAAAATTATAAATAACATTTTGATGTAGTATATACTAAAATTTAACGTCTACTTGTCTATGTTTATTCTTTATTGCCAAATACATACCTGATAATGACATTAAAGTATTATTGATAACATACAGCCAAGTACACTTCCGTGGAAATAACTAAAAAGAGACAAAGAGAGAGAAGATAAGCCATGCAATTTTCATTTTCTTATCCCTATCCTTCCAACATTCTAAAATAGTACTGCTAGAGATATAACTCAGTGGTAGAGCACTTGCCTAGAATATGTAAGGCTCTGAGTTTGATCCCTAGCACCACACAAAACAAAAAAATTAGTTCTATAAAAATAACTATTTTCTGTCTTTTAGTAAATTATCAAAATGTTAGGAAAAAAATCAACAGGAACATGTAAAAGGTTCACTGTCAACCTTTTAAATATTTAAATTATGAAAATTAGAATTTGAGCCCAAATAAATTGATTAAAAATTAAAATACTTTTTTTATTCAATTTGTCCAAACTAATTTTTTTAGTTAAAATACCTCGTTACCTGTTCCATAGTGGCCTCATGTAGCTCATTGAGATTCAATGTGTAAATACCATCTTCAGTTCCAAAAATAATGTACTGATCTAAAACAGTTCATAAATTGTTTATTATTATTTTCTGAAATAATTTACTAAAGTAATGATTTTATAATGATATTGAGTTAGACAGCCAAAGTAAAATGATTTTCTAAAATTCATGCCACCTTATTTCTTTCCTAAACACTTCTCTTCTTTTTTTTAAAAGATATATTTTGTTGTACCAACTCACTCTGAATTTATCTTACTATATATAATCCTTCCCTTCAACATTATTTTTATATTTAATTTTTTTTTGTTATAGTAAGTAACTATTTTTGTAAGAAACCTCAAATGCACTTAAACAAGAAAAATACTAATTATAAATCATGACACACCACAATGAAATACCAAGAATTCAGATCTTGGTTTCTAAATATTGTTTCTACTAAAAAGAGCCAGGGCTTTTTGGAGACAAGTCTGAGTCCTATTCTGGGGACGGGAAAGTATAAGATGAGCCTAGAAATTCTGCAGTGCCAGATAGTAAGGAAGTGCTCAAAAATGATTAGGACACTTTAAACAAAAATTCCAGGACAATTTAAGTGTGAAAATAAATAATAGTGATGGATCCTATTTCACTGAATGAAATTAGAATGYATAAGTGCCAACTGAATAAATGTAATATGTAATCTTGAATTAAATGTTGGATTGGGGAAATAAAAAAAACAGGGTGGAGACTAGGGAGAATACTATTGGGACAATAAAATTTAAACATGATGGACAGAAAATCAGTATTACATCAGTGACAAGTTTCCTGATCTTTTTCATTGTACTGTTTTATTTTAGTGATGATTTCTTTTCCATGGTGCTGGGGATTGGACCCAGGGCTTTGGGCATGCTAGACAAGCGCTCAACTGCTGAGCTATTCCCCCGGCCCAAGTGATGATTCTTTTTTTTTTTTTCCTCCAAGTGATGATTCTTGATGCTAGGAAATATACACTGAAGCAGAGGAGCATGAGGTCTCCAATAGATAGAAAATGGTAAAATGAATGAGGCAAAATAGAAGCAATTAATGATTTTGAGTATATATAGTAGTTTCTTGTGCTATTTTTTATAACTTTTCTGTAAGTCTGAAATTATACCAAATACAAAGTTTCAAACAAAAATATATTTCCTTTCTATTGAAAATTTTTTATTATACTTTCTAACAGTGGTATTTAAAGCAGATCATTTTAAAGTAATTAAAACAAACATTTCCTGAACCCCTTTATTGATTATTCCTGTTTGCTAATTGCCATATACTCAGGCAGGTGCTTTCCTTTCTTACAAAGTAAGCATTAAGAGTATTCACATTACAAATGATTACAATGAAAACCAGGGGTGTTAAGCTTATTTTCCAAATCACCTGGCAGCTTCAATTCAAACTCGGACTATTTGATTACACATTTTTGCCTCTATATATTATGCTTCCTTGGCATGTGCAGGGCGCTGGGTTCGATCCTCAGCACCACATAAAAATAAAATAAAGATGTTGGGTCCACCGAGAACTAAAAAATAAATAATAAACATTAAAAAAATTCTCTCTCTGTTAGGCTTCCTCACTTTAAAAATATATAGTTTAAACTTACAAAAATAACTATTTTGACATCATTTCAGACTTACAGAAAATGTGTAATAGTATAAAGAATTCCTGAATACCTTAACACAGATTCCCCAAATGCTGAACATTTACCACTTATGTTTCATCTTTTCATTCTTTCTCCCCTATGTGCATTTTGTTTCCTGAACCATTTCAGACACAAAAGCCCCTTTATGCCTAAATATTTCAGGATGTATTTTAACCAGTTGTATATAACCAGAGAATAGTACACATAACAATACTATCTCCTAATCTACAGATCTTATTGGTTGAGATAATTGTCCTAGTAATGTTTTTTAGAGTAAGAGAAAATTCCAAAGTAAGGATGCAATCAATTTTGATATCTCTAGTCTCTTTTAATCAAGAATGGATCCTACACACTCTTAAGTTTTAATGTATTAAACCAAACCCTAAATATCTATTTAGGTTGTCACAGGTTCCTATACCAATTAGTCTATTCTCTAACATCATATTTTTAAAGTAACAATCTCAGTTATAAAGATCCAATTGTTTATTGGAGATGCATAATATTCAGAAGTTTTACCTTTTGTATCAGGATGTATCCAGGATGTTGCACAATTAATTTTCAAAGGACAGCCATCAAAAACTTTTGAAAAACATGCTCCCATCTTATTTATAAAGAAAGAAATATTGACTTATTTGATTATATAATTTTAAATAGTGTTAGAAAAATCATTATGATATTTTACACTTATCAGACTTTTACTATATAAAAAAGTATAGTTTATAAAGCATCCCATTCACATGACTGGTTGAACTACCATACAGGCTGAGAATAAATATTAACATAAGTTTCCCTTTTCACTGTACAGAGTCCAATGTGAAAATGGCTTCAGGGGTAGAAAGATATTTAATTCACATAAGCAAGAGGACACATTACTATTAACATTATCACACTAAAATTAAATTGGCCTTTTTAGGCTAATCTGAGAACCCAATTGCCAGTATTTATAAAATGAGAAATTGTCTCTAAGTTCTAACCAATTCACTCAAATTAAGGTAAATGATTTGATCCATGAACTATCCAACTGCATCTAATACCTTTCTATTTTGTAGTATCATTGATTTTAAGGGCTCATTATAACATACCCTATAGCAAATCTACTTCTGCTGCTTCTAAAGACACAAAACATGGCAAATAAGTCATAAAAATATTCTTTACCAGTACTTTTGGGGTGGGTGGTAGACCATTGATGGCTGGTTTCTGTGGAAAAAATAATTTTTAATATCATAAGACTTCCTGAGCCTCAAAACAAAAAAAAGAAAACCTTTATCCATTCAGACATTTAGTTATTTGAATTCTTTTCTTTGAGAGAGATGGGGTCTTGCTATGTTGCTCAGGTTGGCTCTGAACTCTTGGGCTCAAGCTATCCTCCTATGTCAGCCTCACAAGTAGCTGGGACAAGAGGCATATACCATCCCATCCTGCTCCACATAGGCAAATTCTCAAATTAAACAGATTATTTCCCTTGCATGATAAATACATGATTAGTTACAATTAATTGCTAAATGCCTGTTGTACTTACAGGGAAGTCTCGCTTGTCCTTTTTTCGAGGTAACTGTGGTGCTTGTGCTGATCCTTCTGTATTTTCACTAATCAGTTTTGAAATACCATCACCATTTCCTAAAGAGAATCATAGTTAAAAGTTGAATGAACACAAATAAATACACCCTTTGAAAAACAATTTTTCCTTTCTCTCATGACTTGTCTTCCCCTTTAGTGATTTGTTATGGAAGAATATTTTCTACTGTCAGATGAGTTATCTTTGGTCCCTTCCTCTAGATTCTATAGTTGTTGCACTGTATCTTTAGCCATGCTCTTAACCTATGAAAATTATGAATGTCTTTCCATAGTGTAAGGAAAAATGAAATCTCCCAACATGGTTACATTGATATTCAAGACCTTTTCCAATTGAACTTTAATCCACATTTTCAGTCCTATTTTTTCTTTAAATATCACACTATCCCATAGTGGAGTGTACTTAAAACATAATTCAGGTTTTCCTGCCTCAGTGCATTGACTCTTCTTTCTTATTTTCTAAAAATGTCTGTCAGCACTGGCTTCACCTACTGAAGGCTCATTAAGCCCTTTACTACCCGTCAAGAGTTTACTTTCTCTTTTCTCCATCCTTACCTCCCTCAGAAATCTCCGATATTCTATTACATACAATTATTATTTTATGAGACTCTCACACAAGTTGTATTTTCTAATGTTTTGTATACATAAATATAACTTCTGCCATAGCCTCTAATCTCCAGGAGGGCAGGAATAAGTATTCATCCTTATAGGTTCTACAGTATTATTTGTTTTTTAAATTTTGAATCAGGGTCTCACTAAGTTGCCGAGGCTGGCCTTGAACTTGTAATCCTCCTGCCTCAGCCTCCCTAGTCATTGGGATCAGAGGTGTGCACAAGCATGTGTGGCTAGGTCCTATAATATTTAATAAGGAATCAAATTAGAGTTGAAGTGGACAGAATTTATTTATAGACCATCTATCTGGAATTAAAGAACCTCATAAAGCTTTACACTGTAATAGGACTGACTACAGAAGAAAGATATTCTTTAAAACAGGAACAATGTGGCTTTCTTTCCACTTTGATTTATTTACCCAGATCACAGTATCTAGCCGTACGCACTCGAGGGCTGCAGACACTGCTAGCCATACCCAAAGAGGAAGTCTCTGCTACAGGACCACAACTTGGGCTACTCTGTCTTCTGAGAATTTGAGGAGCTCTGTTCTCTGAATCAGGGCAACGTTTTATAGTTGATGATTTTTCTTCATCTGGGAGGTTGTCTTCAGGGTAACTGTTTATCCTTGGCTAGTGATTAAAAAACAAAAATTTTTTATAACCAATAGAGATGATGTAAACAGTCCATAAAATATTTAATAGTGGAAACAAGGACAATAACTCAATTAAGTATGACTTCATAAATGTCAAACTACAGTAATAAATAAGGATTATAAATGATCCATGCAGTCAAGTATTTTCTCAAATGAGCAATGATCTATGTTTTTCTTTTTCTAATAATTTGTTAAAAATATTCTATTTCTCAGGGAGACCAATAAAAGAAGGGGAGGGGAAAGGGAAGACTTTGTGAAATGAAACTAACCAAATTATGTGCACATAGGAAGGTATATATCACAATAAATGCCACTTTTATGTATTATTATAATATACTGATAAATTCTTTTAAGAAATCTATTTCTCATGAAATCTTCTTTACTATATATTTTACATCTTCATGTCTCCCTTCTGAAGAAAACTGTATTCATCTAAAATATATTTGAGAAACTTCTGACTCTGAATAAAATCAATAAAATTATTTTAAAAATTTAATTATTTAAAAAAAGATTTATTGTTCAAAGTCCTTAAACAGCTCACCTTAGGAGGTAGGGGAGGTGGTACTGCACGTTTTGAGGTTGATCTAATACAAAGAGGAAAAATATAATTTAGATGGTGATAAATGGCCATAACTTAAAACAACAACAATATTTACATGTATTAAAAGACAAATAGATAATGATATGGAATATGAGGAAAAACTATGACCTCATACAGTCAGAATGTACTAGTGTGACTATAAAATAGAGATATTATAAAGAAGGCACCAAGTCTTTACTTCATAGTTATGCTTTGTGATATTTAATTTAAACTTACTAATAAACAATAAATTCAGGCTAGGGGTGTAGCTCAGTGGTAAAATGCATACTTAGCATATGCAAGACCCTGAGTTCAATCTCCAGCATCAAAAGAAAAAATAAACAAAAAACAATAAAATTCAAAAATTTCAAACCCATAAGATTTAAGTGGCTATTATCGTCAAACTACTTGAAACATGGTCCTCGGACCAGTGATAATGACACCACTTGAGAACTTTTATAAATGAATCATTTCTACCTACTGAATCAGAATGTATATTTTAATGAGATCTCCAGTTCAATATGCAAATCAAAGTTTGACATGTACTGATCTAGCCCAATGGTCATACATGTTTATCCAGTCACTGCAATCAACTGGAAAGCTTTTAGGATTTTTGGATTCCAGTCTTGAAGACAATATTCTATAGTAGAGGTTGGAAATTTTTTCTGTCAAGGGCCAAACAGTAAATCTCATAGGCTTGGTAAGTAGTTGCAACTCTGCTAATATAGAGTGAAAGCATCTTTAGATGATACATAAATTAATGAACAAGGAAGGCTATGTTCTGATAAAGCTTTATTTATGAACACTGAAATCTGAATTTCATATGATTTTCACATGACAAAATATTCTTCATTTGATTTTTTTTTTTGTGTGTGTGGGTACCAGGGATTGAACTCAGGGGTACTTGATCACTAAGCCACATCCCCAGTCCTATTTTGTATTTTACTTAGAGATAGGGTCTCAATGAGTTGCTTATTAGTACCTCGCTTTTGCTGAGGCTAGCTTTGAACTCGCAATCTTCCTGCCTCAGCCTCTTGAGCCATTGGGATTAGAGTTGTGCACCACCATACCTGGCTTCTTCATTTGATTTTTTTCCAAGCATTAAAAATGTAAATACCATTTTTAGTGCACGAGCTGTGTAAAAATAGGCAGCAGGCCAGATTTGGTCCATAGGCTATGCAGTTTGACAACCAGAGATCTATAGGTCTAATGTGGGGACACAGAATCTGTATTTTGAAAGAGTTCTCTAGGTAAATGCAATGCACATATAAGTAAACAACAACAATGAGGCCATGCCCTATAGTTAATTGCCAAAGGAAAGACACCAATCTAGATTATGAAGTAACTACACTGTGGAGATAAAACTGGGACTTTCTCATTTCCACTACAGTAATTTTTTACCATGACATCTTGTGAGTCACCTTTCCATATATTATTATTACACATAGTACATTTTGATTAAAACAAAATACAAAAGCATTAATGATCAATATGTAATGGTTTTTGGTAATAAAAAAAAAAGTCAGAAGTTTTATATTGGCAACTTTTTTAAGAAAAAAATTAAAGCTTATTAATCCCATTCCTCTACTACCAAATACTGTTCTATGTAATTTAATAACTTTTATTAAATTAAAGTTATTAATCAGAAATAACTTACTTTCCAGTATTTGAACCATCAACAAAAGGATTCCACTGTAATATAAAGTTTGGGTCTGATGAGACTCCCTGTGAAGATTAAAAATATAGTTCCTTTTATAGATATTAACCATCTTATTTATTACTGAAAGATGCTAATCATCATTTTGATTCAAGAAAAACTCCAGTGTCATGATTGTTAATGTATTGGCATTGAATCAGTTTCTAAATCTTCAGCTAGTTTTGCTTTGCCATTTGACCTATTTAGGTCAGTGACTCATTATCAGTTGACATGAACTTAAGAAATTTTATAAACATACTAAATATAGCTTCAAATGTAACAAGTCCTCTTTTTTAATATTTATTTTTTGGTTAGACACAATACCTTTATTTTGTTTGTTTATTTTTATGTGGTGTTGAGGATCGAACCCAGGGCCTTGAGCATGCTAGGTGAGCGCTCTACCACTGAGCCACAATCCCAGCCTGTGACAAGTCCTCTTTAACAATATGCTAGTATATTCTAAAGCAAAAAAGCAACTTTGAATTACTTACATCACTACTTCATTAGCATGCAGGACTAAATAACATTATTAAATTATTTATTTACTGGTATTACTACTTTTTCTTATTAGCATGGAAATTAAGGACTCACAGACACATACAATAAGAACAACATCTCTTCTACATGTTATTCTAAAAAATATAGTTCTATTAATTGAAAATAAAGTAGATATTAAGGTAACTTTTAGGTCAACTCTAACAATATCATGCTTTATTTAGTCTTTTCTTTTAGACCAAAGAAGGGTTAACTAAGTAGTTGTCTGAAAATAAGGGCACTGGTTAAAAAAGAAGTCATATAAACAAATGACATACCTTTTATTTTGTTTTCCTTTTTTGGCAGTGCTGGGTTCAAACCCAGGGCCTTGTGCATGCTAGGAAAGTGCTCTACCACTGAGTTACATCCTCAGCCCCACAAATAAAATACTTAAAAAATAATAAAAATAAGGCATTGTAAAAATATATTTACTAGAGATCTAATAAAATAGATATGAAAAAAGGTACCAAGAACTTTGAGCTAAGCTTCCAAATAAATGTTTAGTAGTTTCATATAAATACTTCAAAAGAGTTAAAATGAATGACTGAAATAGCATGTTATGTTCTAACTATTCAAAATACACCAATTACTAACTTTATCAAACTTGAATATATGAAATACATTATCAATGTAAAATGCTTGGGGCTGGGGTTGTGGCTCAGTAACAGAGAATGTGTGAGGCACTAGGTTTGATCCTCAACACTACATATAAATAAATAAAAAATAAAGGTACATCAATAACTAAAAAATATTTTTAAAAAATGCTTAAAAGAGGATATGATTCTGTTTCTTATAGTATGTCTAACTGAAATAAGTTTTCTTAAAATTTAAAAGTTATCATTCTTACCATTTCATCCCGTGCTTCTGTTTCTTTTCTCAGAGGAGGTTCAAATTGTAATTTGTCAACTGCAAAATATATATGAGATATTTATAAACTCAATCTCTTAAGGGTTAATCTTGGAGATGAAATGTTTGTGTCCTGGTAGGGGAATGGAAAATATAACACACACACACACATATCTTACCAAAAGAGTGTAATAACCTACTGTCTTCCTGATATGTCTGTTTAATTTTTTAAAAAATATTTTTAGTTATAGATGGACACATACCTTTGTTTATTTATTGTTATGTGGTTCTGGGGAATGAACCCAGTGCCTCACATGTGCTAGGCAAGTGCTCTACCACTGAGCTACAACCCCAGCCCCTCTGTTTAATTCTGATTGAAAATTTTAAAACTTCATTAGAAGTAGATGACCAAAGAACAAATGGCTTCTGTTAAATATTATAATGTTCAGGAATCTAATACATTTTACTGTGTATTTTATTTGGCCTAGTCAGATTGATTTCAGAATTATTTAAAATATTCAATGAGTAACTACTTTTATATGAAATATTCCCAAACAGGGAAAAGGATGGTTTATTACTTACTCATAAAGTATTCAGAATTTTAAGATTCTAAAATCCAATGTAACTAAAAGGCCAATAAAGTTTTTTTTTTCAACATTCATACTTGCATTACAGAGATGCAAGTTTCCTGAATACAATCTTAGCAAACAAAATGTCCTGAAAAAGCACTTTCAAATAGGATCTAGAATTTATCCCTAAAAACAAGATTTGTAGAAAGCAATAAAAAGCACACAATTCATTAAATAAAAAGTACACAATTCATTACATAAGCAAAACCAGTATATCATAAATTTTTTTGTAAAAAAGATCAGAATAAAAACAGCATCTACTTTAAAAAACAATCTAAAAGAAAAAGACCTTGGTCATTAATCACTCACTTAACATGATTTTAAAACATTTAAATTCAAGAATTACTATTATAATTCATAAAGAACCATTTACTCTTTTGAGACAGAGATGAGCTAAAGGATTTTTCTTTTGGGCATAACTGGCAAGAAGAGAGAGAGTGATGGATCAATGACCTTGACATTCCAGTAGAAACATTAAACAAATGTGAGAGTAAGCTCAAAGGAACAGAGATTTGGAGTATAGTGGGAATTCATGTATCAGAGCTCATGCCAGGGCCCAGGTCAGGAGTGAAGAGTGCATTGAAGTACATGAAGATGTCCAAATATGAAGATCCACGATAAAAGGTATAAATATGGAAATAAAATATCACTTTTCATAATAAATTAAAAGACTACAAAAATCCCTAGAAAAAATGAATTTCATCATTTAAAGATACAGTAAAACATTAACTACATCCCAACAGACAAGTATCAGTAAAAATGAGATTTCATTTAAATAATTATTTAAGAAGTTTTAACGTGTAATAAAAGATATCCTTAAAAAATCCTTATTACTGGCTTAAAATTATTATAGCCATAACTTACAAACAGAATGCTGGAGCCTCCAATTTTTGTTCTGTGTGGTAGACTGGACATACACTTTTTAAAAAACAAAACGCTGGTAGTGCCTTTGGGTGTGTCTTTGGCCCATGACAAAGGTGAGGAGGCTTTCTAGTATATATCCTCATTTATCTCTAAAAGATGATCCAGTTCTGGCTATAATTAAGACTGACTGTTATGCTATAAACTACTACACATGTAGCATAAATATGTGTGTGTGTGTGTGTGTGTGTGTGTGTGTGTGTGTGTGTGTGTACAAATTATATGAAACAACCGTTTTGGGGCAGTGGATGACAGATATTACAGGGATGTGTTCCTTGAGAGAAAGTGAATACATTGTGGTAAAATCCACAGCCCAACTTTGGCTTTTTGCCTGGGGACACTTCCTAAAGTAGTGTTACAAGAGGGTGGAGTCCAAAGAGTAAGTCTCACTGGATAGGGAAACAAAGATAAGAACTTGGGGGTATGATCTGAAGAGCAGAGTATTAAAAATAAGAAAGCTGAACTCTAGAAATCTGCAAAGAGTTTTCTTTAAATCTGTGACTGAATACTAAGAGCAAAGCAAGCTAAGCAAAGTATGTTAGAAAACAGCTAAGAGGACCATAAAGCAGAGATGTACCAGGAAAGATAACCAAGTTTCCACTCAGAGGAAGATCTTGCTGAATACTCTAGAAAAACAGTCAGCAAGCCTTGAAAGGATCAAGCAGACCTAGTTAATTCATTCTTTACAGGAAGAGGGCAACACCCTTTATAATTAATAGAAACAGATCCAGAGATGATACAGATGTTGAAATAAGTAGATAAGGTCTGAAAACTGCTATTATAAATATGTTCAAGGATTTAAGAGAAAACATAAACACAAGTGAGCAGATAATCTTAGTAGAGAGATAGAAATTATATATATGTGTGTGTATGTATATATATATGTATATATATATATACATATATATATATATACATGCATTGTATGTGTGTGTATGACTCAAGTCTAGATTTGAAAAATATCACATATGGAAAAAAACTCACCAGAGGAACTTAACAGTGGACTGAACACTACAGAGGAAAAGATCAATGACCTTGAAGTCAAGGCAACAGAAATTACAGAGAACAAAGAAATCCCCCTTATGTGCAGATATGAGAGAGAACAAGCCTTGGTGCCTTATGAAACAAGGGAATTAACTATGCAGCTAGAGTCCTGGAAGTAGATGAGAGATTTGGGTAGAAGAGTAGCCAAGTATTTTCCAAATTCATAAAAAATTTCAACCCATAGATCTAAGAAACTGAACTCCAAGTAGAATCAACACACACACACACACAAAATGCATTAAATGGATCGAAGTCAAATTATTAAGAAACAAACAAAAATCATAAAAATGTCAACTGTAGTACCTTACATATACATATATATTTAAAAAATCTGGCTCCTCTGCCATCTTATACCCTGAGAAGGTGTACTGGGAACAGGACTTCTGAAAGTCACCTGTGTCTGGGAGGCTGTGATTCGATGCCATTTTTGCTAGCTATATGCCCAGGATGAAACCGATACTGGCTGGACAAGAGATAAACTTATGTATACAAAGCAATAAACGACCCAGTGATTCCTGAAAGTAAATTGAACAAAACCAGGGTAATCTGGGGGAAGGTTACTTGTGTCCACAGAAACATGGCATGATTTGTGTCATGTTCCCAATCAAGCTTCCTACTCAGGCCACTGCACAGAATCAATGTAAAGCTGTACTCTTCAAGGATTTAAACCAATGAAAAGTAAATAAATAAAAGTGGATTTGTTTTTAAAAAATCTGAATTGATATCATGGATTGGGTTGTAACCTGCAGTTTATAAAGTGGTGACATAGAATATATCAGTGTATTATACTTGAGGTAATTTTTCATAGTTTTTTCAGTAAACAAAAATTTTATTTGATAATCATATCCTATTTTTAGGATGGATAAAGCTTGTCTAAAAGCCTAAATTTTGGGTTGAGGTTGTGGCTCAGTGGTAGAGCACCCGCTCAAGCATGTGCGATGCCCTGGGTTTGATCCTCAGCACCAAACAAAAATAAACAAATAAAATAAAGGTATTGTGTCCAACTATAACTAAAAAATAAATTGAAAAAAAAAAGCCTCAACTTTAAGATTGGCAAAAACAAAATAAAAGACACTGTTTAGTGTGCTTCCTACCTAGGAAATGTCTCTCTCTAGGGTTGGAAACAGTCACTATAGTTTAATCTAGAGAGATTTGTAAGACAGTACATCTTATGATTTTCTCACTCTCACTCCATGGGTAACAAAAAGGACCAATGGAATTTTCAAATTTAAGTTAGATAAACTTTCCAAAATTCTCAGACTTTCTCAGCCTAAAGTGTTTTGATTTTTCCTTTGTCAATTACAGTGAGGTCAATTCCCCTTGAACCCATTAACTCAATAACCAAAACCTCAGTATCCAATACATTTGAGAATCCTGATTCTGACTATTTTCTGCATTTATTACAGGATAATAGCTGGATGTCATTCAGCATACACAGTTTAAATCAAACATAGCCAAGAAGGATTTTCTCTGAGACAAACTTTATATGATTTAAAATTCAGAGCTGTTCTGGAAAACTGCCTTCCAACCTCAGTACGTAGAATCTAGCCAGATGTTTTAAGTAATGAACACAGTGGTAAAACTGGGTGTTGATCTCTGTATTTACAGTTTTCAATTATAGAGAAATACACCCATCTTAGATCACTGAAAAACTGTCCCATAGGACACCTCAAACTGGAAATGACAAAGAGTCCTTCAGAAGCAAACAAAAAGAAGTAGCTTCCATGCAAGATTGCTGTTTCAAGCTGATGACTACATTGAGTGGAGCATCTGGCCCAGGACCATGAACAAGAGCACTGGAGCCACTGACTCTCACATGTTGAATCTGTATGCTACCATATATAACTTCTTTTCTTAGCTACAAGTCCTTCCTTTCAATAATTGAAGGTTTTGGATTGTTGTCAGACACTTGTTACTCTTACACTTGATACCTGTACAGTCTATATTAACATCACTCTTTTTAGCCTTAGTTCATGGTATGAGTCCAACACTTGGCTGAAATTTATTCACGAATCAGCTAAAATCATACATTTTAAAGCCACTGTGGGGTTTGTATATGATCACTTTCCTCCCATCTTCCTTTGGTGCCAACGCCTTGTGATCAGTTCCCTAAATAGTTGGATTCAACCATGGATTGACTTTTTAAATGACAAATTCTTAAAATTAGATAATTTGGCTAATTTCTGGTCTAGACTGAGAAAGTACTTTCTTTATTCTCCCTATTATAGGAGTCAATAAACCTGACTCTGTTGTATTATACATTTGTCCCTTGTGGTTTTAGACTGATTAAGCTAGGTGCATAATAATTATTTATACACTACAAAGAATTTTATAGTAGTAGTAATAGTCCAAAACTATAAACAAACCAAATGCCAATCAACAGAAGAATGGATAAATTGTGGTATAATTATACAATGAATATTATTCTACAATGAAAACAATAAACTACTGCTATACACACATGATTCCTATAGACCTTATGTTGAACAAAAGAAACTAAGCACAAAAAGGTACATATCATGTGAGTCCAGTTGTTTGGTGGTCAAGATCAGTTAAAAAGCAACCTATGATAACAGAGATTGGAATACTGATTAGCCTGGATATAGGGAGTGGGGGAGTATAGAACAGAAGGGTAATGACTATAAAGGAGATTTTGAGATTCAGATAATGCTTTTCAGCTGGGTGGCAGTTACATGGGGTATTAACATATTTAAAATTTCACCATGTAGTATACTTAAGATATGAACATTTTACTCCACATACATTACACAGTTCAATTTAAAAAATTGAAATAAAAACAGATTAGAACTAACTAGGTATGTATAATACTTATCAAATAAGCAAAAGCAAACTTATAGAGCATTTCTGCTAGAAACAGAATACAATCTGTAAAAATTTACAAACAAATTATCAATAAAATGACCTCAACTCTACCTTCTGTCTGGTCTGAAAGACACAGAGCTTACTCTGACGATATTAGGTCTCCAGACACTCATCTAGAAATAGCTTCAACTTATCTCTGAAAAAAAGCCTATTTTCATGAAGACAATATTATGAAGATGTCAATTTTCCCAAAGTTAATACAAACATTTAATAAGATATCAGAAAATACACTGATGTTTTAAACTAGATTAGTTGATTCTTTAGTTTATGTGTAAAAAAAAAAAGGAAAATATCATAATAAAAGACAACAGCAACAAGGGGGTGTGTGTATGTGCATGATATGGTGTGGTGGGGAGGGGCAGGGAGTACGAGGAGGAATAGCATCAAGAGATTTATCCCAAGTATGATGCTGGCACATGAATAGATATATTAATGCGACAGAATAGTATTTCCAGGAAAAGTCCTAACAGTCCTATTATATGTTTGAAAATTTAGTTTATAATAAAGATAATATGTTGAATACATGAGGAGAAATATTGAAATTTTTAATAAATAGCACTGAGACAAATGAGTGAGAGAAAGAATAAAGTTAAATCTAAACTATGCCTTCAACCAAATACTATATACCAAAGATTTAAATATTTTTTAAAAATGAAACTAAAAGAAGAAACCATAGGAAAATTCTTTTGTAACCCTGGAATTAAGAAAGCCTAACTAAATATGACACAAAACTCAAAGACTACAAAATAAGTTAGATTACATTAATGAAATATTATATAGCTGCATAAAATAAATAATGCTTTATAAAGGAATATCAAGTTTGCCACTTTTCTACTGGGTATGTATCTGAAGTCCACAAGGCTCACTTCAGATTGTATAACAACATAAGAAAGCAATCTGGGCACTAACCAAGACAAGTCTTGAAATTATTCACTCAACTATAAAAAGTCCTGATTAAAACAAATGATATGGGAAGGGAATTCTAATGATCCCATGACCTTGATTCCTAAACCCACATCTAAAAATCTAGAGATATTTGTGTTTAAAAAAACTCAGACATAAACAAACAAATACTCCTCTGTATTAATTCTAATTAGACATATATTTAATGAATTGTCTTTATCCATTATAGACTACAATTCCATAGTTATATGTCTTATTTTATATCTTAAACTACTTTAAATTTTGGAAACAAGTAGACATTTAAGTCAATAAATTCATTATTTAAAAATTTCTCTCCAATTTGTTGTTCTAAATTAATGCAGTTAAAATGAAAAACATTGATACAAAATATTTACTCTATCAATGATTAACTCATTAAATACAAAAATCAATCTTTCCTTTTAAGAATTTTTTAGAAAAGATTCCTCTTCAGGCTAATCTGACTAAAAAAAATTGAAAACCCCACCAATGCCCAACAAGAGGGAACTAACTACAATAAATCAAGTAATAAAATGTTATGTAACCATTAGATATAATAGCCATAAAGGTTGGGCTAATGTATGGAAAATACTTTTATATTAAGTAAAATTTTATGTGTAGTATAAATTCAGGCTTATATGTATATAAAGTATACATATATAAAACATGTAATGTATATACAATGTATACATGGAGAAATGTGAAGAAAAGCTGGGAAAACATTAATTATGGTTTGGCTCTGGGTGATGTGATTATATGCAATGTTAATTTTGTATTTTTTCTTCTTGCAAATTTCCTGCAATGGGCATGATTATCTTCATAATTAGAAAATAAAAACTTTAAAAATTGTAAATGAACACAATTTCACCAAAGGCAGAAAAACAACATATATTTAGAGGAATTGTGATATGGTAAAGTATGTAGTTTCAATTAATAAAATTGAGATTTTATTAATGCATGAAAAATACAAGAATACCCAGCTCAACCCTCCAAAACCACCAATGGAAAATGTATACCAAACACATACAATTTATTTCTGAAGCTGTCCGTTCAGCTCTGGCATTCCTGTTTGTAGATCTAATGGTATGACGAATGATTGCATGGGGCTGCAAATACAAGCATAATATACACACTTTAAAAAATTTTAATGATAAAGTTAAAAGGTCAAACTTTTAACTTTTAATTAAGTGATCACTTATTGACAAATATGATTATCTACTAATAAATTATAGGACAAACATAAAACAAACACAATGAACTCTAAAGCACTTTAAAAGTTTATTCACTTATTACATATTTATACTATGCAAAATACTAAAGGGATTCAGAGAAAATCAGACACAAATCTTGTCCTTAGAGTTTACAGTCTAGGAAGACAAGACATATAAACATTTACAAAAAAAAAAAAATGTAAGTGCTATTTCTTAAGAAAATAAATAGGTTACTACTAAAGCCCACAAAAAGAAGAAATGACTTCTATACTGAACTAAAGGAGTACAGAAGTTCTGCATGAAAGAGCTGTAATCTGATCTGGGTCCTCCTACAAGAAGGCACTGGATATGCAGCAATGTGGGAGAAGCATTAGGCCACAGAAAGAGTATGAACCAAGTGACACAAGAAAGAAAAGGAAACTGCAGTGTTTACAGGGGCTAGGGGCTGATTATTATTTGGTTGCAGTGAAGATCAGGTTAAGAGATGACAAAGCTGGAAAGACACACTGGGGGTAAGCCAGATTTATAAAAGGATCTGAATGACAGGTGAGGGCTCTCAACCTTATTTTCTTAGCAAAAGGATTTTTTTAAAAAGATTTTACAGAAGGGAGTGGCATCATCAAAATCAGCTTTAAGGGTAATCCAATAAGTGCGTAAGAAAGTATGGAGGGGAGAAACGTTGGCTACAAGATTAGGAATATTGTAGCAAGGCCAATAAAAAACTTACTACTTTTATCTTCTTGCATAAACTGTTGCTCCATTGAAGCTATGCCTACAACGCAACCCCTATCTACCAAATTTCTGACAACTCATTTCTATTCATTCACAGCTCTTAAAGTGGTTTGTATATTTTTGTTTTTTCCATTCTGCTTCAAGACGAAGAAGACCTATAGTCAAACCAAGAGATTTCAAAAGCTGAGGTGAATCCATGGTTCTGAATTGAACATCCCTGTGTACTTCAATGCACTCTTCACTCCTGACATCACAACTGGGCCCTGGCATGAGTTCTGATGCATGAATTCCCAATATACTGGAAATCTCTGATCCTTTAAGCTTATTCTCTAACTTACTCTCATTAAACTTCTTTAATGTACCCACTGGAATATCAAGGTCATTGATCTACAACTCTCTCAATATCTATCAGCATCTTGCCTATCTTTACTTGTCTCCTTATTCAGTTTATATCTGATAATCCCAAATTTCTAGCAATCTCTTGACAATATTCTAAATTCCCTTTGGCCTTCAATATATGACAGAGCAACCCTGGATGAACTCCACTAGTGATCTTTGTGTTTCCATCTGGGATATCACAAACACTGCTGGGGGAAAATCACATAGAACACTAAAAACCCATCTTGAGTCTTCAACTTTGCCCATACACACTTGTCTAGTCATTTAACCAACCCACCACCCATTCTCCTCAGTTACACTTTTATACCTTCTCTACACTCTTCAAACCTACTTATTTTCCTTAATACTTTCCTTGCCACTTACTTCAGAGAAAATAGAAATCACTAGTTATACTACCAGTCAACCTCTCTAAGGCAAGAGAAATGTTTCCTTATCTAAGATTCAGTCCTTCATAATATTCTTGATCCAAGCCTCTGCTTCCTTACTGGAGGCTTTGACTATTCATCTTGCTTTTGTTGCATCTTTACTCTTTCTCAGATTCTTTCATAAGCATTTAATCATGTTCAAGAAGCCCCCCACAACACAACTGATCAGTAAATCTAGCCCTCTACAACTCATTCTCCTCCAGCTACTGCTTTCACTCATTCTTTCACAACTAAATCTTATAAATTACTATACTTACCTTTCAAGATTCTCCAAGCTAGATACCTTCCATTATTTGCAAATTATACTTTTAAAGTGATCAAACACTACATCTAAACCCAAAGACTGCCTTAACCTAACTTCTAGGCAGATGATCATTGAAACTCTCCTTCTTTCAGTGTTCCTTATCAATCTGTTTTAAAAATTTTTGTAAATTTTTAAAATTTATTAATGACAGTGGAATACATTACAATTCTTTTTTTTTTGAGAGAGAGTGAGAGAGGAGAGAGAGAGAGGAGAGAGAGAGAATTTTTAATATTTATTTATTTTTTTTTAAGTTCTCGGTGGACACAACATCTTTGTTGGTATGTGGTGATGAGGATCGAACCCGGGCCGCACGCATGCCAGGCGAGCGCGCTACCACTTGAGCCACATCCCCAGCCCCCATTACAATTCATATTACACATATAGAGCACATTTTTTCATATCTCTGGTTGTATACAAAGTATATTCGTGTCTTCATATGTGTACTTTGAAAAATGATGACCATCACATTCCACCATCATTTCTAGCCCCATGCCCCCTCGATTCCCCTCCCACCCCTCTGCCCTATCTAGAATTCATCTATTCCTCCCATGTTCCCCCTCCCTACCCCACTATGAATCAGCCTCCTATATTAGAGAAAACATTTGGCATTTGGTGTTTTGGGATTGGCTAACTTCACTTAGCATTATCTTCTCCAACTCCATCCATTTACCTGCAAATGCCATGATTTTATTCTCTTTTAGTGCTGAGTAATATTCCATTGTGTATAAATGCCACATTTTTAAAATCCATGCATCTACTGAAGGGCATCTGGGTTGGTTCCACAGTTTAGCTATTGTGAATTGTACTGCAATAAACATTGATGTGGCTGTGTCCCTGTAGTATGCAGTTTTTAAGTCCTTTGGGTATAGATTGAGGAGAGGGATTGGGTCAAATGGTGGTTCCATACCCAGTTTTCCAAGCAATCTCCATACTGCTTTCCATATTGGCTGCAGCAATTTGCAGTTCCATCAGCAGTGTAGAAGTGCACCCTTTCCCCCACATCCTCACCAACACT